TGCTTTCTAACGTCATTTCCCTTCCGTCTCAGGTTACCAGCTGGACTCCATTCCTCAGCATGCTTGTGGCTTGGTAGGGTCCATGTGATGTGGTCTCGCTGTCCAGGGCTCACCACAAAGTCATTATTGGCTTTACATTGGCTCGGCGATTCCTGGAGCCATGAACTGAATACGGGGATTCCCAAGAAAGAAAGATCATGGGCCCATGCAGGGCAAATGGAGCACATACATCCTAGCCTGACACCAAATGACTCAGTGGCTTTGTACTGGGTTAAACCACCAGTATTTAGAGGTTAATTTATCACAAGAGTGAGTTTCCAACTAATGTGCTCAGGAGTTCCTCTCTGTGGTTTTAAGACCACCCCGATGAAACAGTTGCTCTTAATCACTCCCTGAGAAAGCTGCTGCCTGGTCAAGCTTGGTGTTCTGGTTTCACTTACATTGCTGTGGTAAAACACCTTGAGCAAAAGCAACCTGAGGGAGAAAAGGGTTGATAAAGTTGTCAAGTTCCAGGTTAGGTCCATCACTGGGGTGACATTGAGGCAGCAGCTCGGAGCAGCTAGTCGCATAACACCCACAGTCAAGAGCAAAGAGAAGAAATGCACCTTTGCTTGCTGGCTTTCTTCACTTTTATAGACTTCAGGGCCCAACCTGGAGAACCATGCTGCCCACAGTGGCCGGGGCCTTCCTCCGTCCATTACCAGTCATGACAGTCCCCCACAGACATGCCCACAGGCCAGCCTGATCTAGAGGTGGTTCTAGGCTGTGTCCCGTGAAGGATTAAAGCTAACGGGCACAGCTGTGTATCCAGGAAAGAGCGGAAAGACGATGAGCTCACAGGGACAGTCACTGACCGAGGGGAGACAATCTGTGTGGGTGGTAGTGAGTGAGGAGGACCAAGGAAGCCAGGTGCAGAGCACAGATGCTCCTCCAAAAGAGGTAGAATGTGTTTTCTAAATCCCAAGTGTTTAAACAGACATACAAATGGCCAGTTAGCCATGAGAAGAGGCTTGCCGTCTTTAGTCAGTAAGAATGTACACCAAAGTCCCCTTGAGAGACCCCTTCCAAATGCTAGACTATTTACAAAGCCAGAACCACAAATAACAGGTCCTGGCAGGGGTGGATGGAAATTGGAGCTCTTTCCATCACTGGTACTCTTTTTTTTATTTTGTTTTATTTTATTATTAATTAATTAATTTATTTAGGTTTTTTAAGACAGGGTTTCTCTGTAGCTTTGGAGCCAGTCCTGGAACTAGCTCTGTAGACCAGGCTGGCCTCGAACTCACAGAGATCCTCCTTCCTCTGCCTCCCGAGTACAGGGATTAAATGTGTGCACCACCACCGCCCGGCCCCATCACTGGTACTCTTGTGGACTGATGTCACCACTATGAATAACAGATAGACAGTTCCGAGATTGACCAAAGGACCCAACTGTTTCAGTCGTGTGTGTGTGTGTGTGTGTGTGTGTGTGTGTGTGTGTATGGATGAAGAATGGGGATTCAAATGCATGCTTGCAATGGGTGGAGATGAATTTCCTGGCATGCCAACCAGCACTTGGGCACTTCCCCAGCTTTTTGAATTGTGGGTCACAACCCCAGAAGTGATCACGAGATTTAATATAGGGGTTGCACAAAATTTGACTGTGATAAAGGTTTTCTGAACGTGCACTAATCAAAAATTAATTCAAAACCGAATGTATGATGAGTCCAGCCCTCACCCCGGTGCATCTCATGGCTCTGCCACCTTGGTTCTGAACACACGAAGCGGGCACTTAGCCCTGTATGTGCCATCATGCCACAGAACATTGGCATCCGAGGTCTGATTGAGACAGCTCCGTGCTGGGCACTGTGTTCGTGATGCTCTTATGGAAATGCCATGGCTTACTCACAGAACTTTTCATATTTTCCCATCATCATCACTTAAATATTGAGTTAGTGTATTTTTTTATTGTATTGCGTTAGAGTGTTTGTTTGTTTTGTGTTTGGGGATTTTGTTTGTTTTTGTTTGTTTGGGGGTTTTTTTGGTTTTGTTTTTTTTGAGGTAGTGTTTCTCTGTGCAACAACAGTCCTGGTTGTCCTGCAATTCTGTGACCAAGATGGCCTTAAACTCAGAGATCTGCCTGCCTCTGCTTTCCAGGTGCTGGGATTAAAGGTATGTACCACCACCCTCCAGCTAGAATGTTTGACTTTTTTTTAATTGATGTTTGAGTTGCTGACTTGGGTTTTATTTAAAACAACAGTAATAGAAACAAAACAAAACCAAGATGCTGGAGATGAGTCTGTGTAGGAGAGCACTTGCTGCTCTGACAGAGGACCCAGTCAGTTCCCGGCACCTATGTGGCAGTCACCTTCTGTAACTCCAGTGCCAGGGAGATCCAACACTCCTTTAACTGCCACAGGTACGAGGCATGGACATGATACACATGCAGACAAAACACTCCACACACATAAAATAAAATAAATGCATCTTTCAAAAAATGTTTTAAATCATTAAGTGGATTTGTGTTTGGGATTAAGAAAACAATTTCCGAAATGTCCCCAAACATACTTCTGCCATTCTGTGCTCTGTTTATATAAAGCAGCTTTCTCTGAATTGACAATTATAAAATCAAAATGTCATTCAATTCTGATGGTCTATGTCCTGTGTACCGAACATTTAGGCCAGATTGAATTCTTCATGTAAAAGTAAACAAACGCGTCCATCTCTGTAGTATGAAAATTTGCTTTCAACATTAATAAATGGTAATATCGTATCATTTGTAGAGCAAAGAAATTACTTAAAACTTTTTTTTTTTTTTTTTGCTTTTGTGAGACAGGGTTTCTCTGCGTAGCTTTGGAGCCTGTCCTGGAACTCTGTAGACCAGGCCTCAAACACTCAGAGATCCACCTGTCTCTGCCTCCAGAGTGCTGGGATTAAAGGCATGCGCCACCACTGCCCTGCTTATTTCAAACAATTTTATTGGGAGCTGGAGAGACAGTTCAGTGGTTAAGAGTACTCGATGCTCTTCCAAAGGACCTGGGTTAGGCTCTGAGCTCCTGTGTCATGTGGTTCATGCCCTCTTCTAGCTTCTGAGGGCAAACACACACCCACACCAACACACAAAAATAGAATTTTTTTTAAAAAGTAGAATAAACAAATTCTCTTATGGTTAGTTATCAGTAAGTGGTTGCTTTGTATACCTGGGGACATGGAAGAATTTGGGGGTCAGAAAGGGGTCACAATCAGAAAGAGTTTAAGAAGGAGAAAGGAGAGGAGAAAGCTGGAGTCAAGAGTTCAAAGTCATTCCTGGGCCCGAACCCCTTCTCCAAAAACCAAAGAGGCAGTTCCCTAGAGACAGAGGCTGTCCAGTTCCGCTGTGATGAACAGGAGAATTCAGAGTCTCAAAAGATGAGTGCTGCCAGACCCTGGAACACGGAGCAACAGGGAGCAAACGGACCACAAGGAGCAACAGGGAGCGAACCGACCACAGGAGCAACGGGGAGCAAACGGACCACAAGGAGCAACCGGGAGCGAACAGACCACTCACGGATCAACTGGCACGCAGATCAACCTTCACAGGGTTCACTTTGGGATCAGTGACTTTTACGTGGATTTTAAAAACTGCTGCTGTGTGGTTTTCCTGGGACTATCCACCCTGTGCACATCCGGGGCTAAGTAGAGTCTCTGGGGAACAATGACAATAGGACATTATGGCGGAGACCAGCGGGCTGTCAGAGAGCTGCGCTCAGGTCGTGACCACTTCCCTCTTCCTCGCCTCAGTTCTTCGAGACCTGTCAACAGGGACCCGAAGGAGTGGGGTGGAAAGAATAGCGGCTTTGGACCTTACGGGGACCGTGGTTTTACCCCGCTGCCAGCTTTAGCCGCCAGTGGTGCCCCATTCCCTCTTTTGACCCTTTAGCTCCCAGTGTGCATGGCCTGCCTGGCTGGTGCTTGCTGCCACTCACGGCCTTCTGCAGGATCTTCGCAAGGCTTCATCCTCCTTCTCCCCGGCAGACAGATCATCGAAGATCCATTTTCCCCCTCTCCCCCCCCCCCCACAGCCCTCCTCAACTCACCTCTGCCAACCTCCGCAGGCCAAACCAGGTCTCCCTAATAAGAATTCTCCCCAGATTCTTTATGGGGCTTTGATCTCAAAACTGGTAAAGAAGCCCTGAGGCATACAACACTATAAGGCAGGGCAGGACTGGGGAGACACACAGACACTGCGTGCCCCAATCCTTAGGGCTTTGAAGGTTGGGGTCTGCCTTTGTCTTACTTTCAGGCAAGGGCTGGGCCCCTCAACAGCACCCCAGCTCTCATTTCTCTGTATCAGTTAGCTTTCCTTGGCCCCTCACAGGGTGTCTCCTTCACTCCAGGGCCAGCTGAACTCTGGCACTAGAAGATTCTCTGCAGCTCTCCTTCCTGAGTCACACAGATGTAAAGCCTCTGTCCCTGGCCACCACATCTTCCCAACCACAATGAACTGTCCTCAAACCAAGATGTACCCCTCTTCCAGCCTGCTCAGAAGGAAAAAAAAACGAAAGAGTGTCTGAGTTAGGCTAGCCCAGCTTCACAGAGCCGGGAGTCCTGGAGAATGCTGACCTCTGATTCAGCACTCCCAGCTGTCACCGGGTATCTGGGTTCTGTCTTAAGCCCTTCCCAGGGAAAGAGGTATTACACAGGTGTAACTGCTTGGCCTGACTGAGAGCTGTCACTTCCTGACCAGAAAGCAGAGTCCTGGCAGCCTCTTTGAAAAGTCAAAGCCTTTGATGCTGTCAAGGATGAAGACGAAGGCTGTCGAGCACGCGTGTGTGCGCGCGCACGCGCGCACACACACACACACACACACACACACACACACACACACACACACCATGCCTCTGCCCCTCCCTGGTGGCCCCGCCCTCTTACTGCATCAGCACCCCATCTTCCTTACACTCAGGGTGCCTCACCGGCCTACTCTGGCTCCTAACCCACCCTGATGGAGCCCTGAGGGAGCAGGCATCCCCACGAGCACCAAGATGCAGGCACGGCTCTGGCTGGTCTTCAGTGTGAAGCTGGCAGGTAAGACCCAGAGCGGGGTAGCACAAGCCTACTCTGGAGCAGGGCACTTAGAGCTGGCAGTCTTAGCAACAGGAGGAACAGCCAGGAGCCTGGCTGACGGAACAGGGCAGGCGGGGAGGCACAGGCCCTGACCATGGGGAGAATCCTCTCAGGAGCTCATTTCCCAGAGACGCCTGAGGAACTAGGGCAGACGCCAGCTCTGTCCCACAGCCTGAACTAGAAGGGGAGAGGGGAAAGGAAGAAGAAATAAAGAGTGAGAAATGCAGAACTGACGAGGAAACGCAGTTGTTCAGGGCGCTCACAGCGAAGTGCCCATGCAGCTCCCAGAGGCTCCGTCTGGCCCAGGGTCTGTAGACACACTCTTAGTACTTTCGGGGAAGTGCTTCTAGTGAACTGGACAGACATCGCTGTAGCTGGCTCTGGCAGGGTGCTCACTATGGCCACCTACTCTCCAGTGTCCTCAGGAGTCAGGGTCCTGTGTAGCACGGCTTCCCCAAGAAGCAGCATGGATATTGGGGCTGGCACAGACATGCCGCTTTACTAAAGTCTGTCATTGTGATCGGACCCAGTCAGCGGGCTTTTTAGAGGGAGACTCCTCAAATCTTTGCTGGTCTGGCACCACTTAAAGTCCAAAACTGATTACACAGTTGACGGAGATGGGGCATGCCAGCCCCTGCCTCTGACCTGGTTAGCTCAACTACGTCACAAATGAAAAGGAGGCAATCCAAGCCTCTAAAGCTACTGCTGATCTTTCTAGAAATGCCAGGTCCCTCAGAAAATGGAATCCTGGGCTACCAAACTGATAAAATGAGACCGTGTGTGACTTCAAGCCTGGCCGTGCATGTCCTCTGGGCTCTTTGGAAGGGCTCCTGCTGTCTGTATATTTGTGGCCCCATTTTGTGTGCAGGTTTCCTCAGTTCAGGGGCTCTGAGTTCATTCGCGCAAGGCCTATGGCCTGGGTTTGGGAATGAGTCCACTGCACGCAGGCTGTGTGACCCTGAGTGTGCCTTTCTTTCCCTCAAGCTCTGTTCGCCCCCCCGAAGGATTAAATCAGACAGCACAGGCTATGCCTGATGCACCGTCATACAGACCAATGTCCTCACTTTGGCCAGTGACCAAAACAATACAAATGGCTGCGAGGGCACAAAAACCGTAGCCCCATCAGGGAAAGGGAGATGTAGTGGTACCTGAGCCACAGGGGAAGCTCAGAGTGGTCCGGGGTGGACTCTGGGTTTAGTTCATCACATCAATCCTAGGGAAGGCTGTGATGGGGCCGGAAGGCCTGAGCCACAATTAGAGACCGTGATGGCGCCATTAACTCAAGCAGCTGATTCTTCCCGGCTCACACACCCTCCAGTCTCTGCTCTGTCAGTCCTGTCCTCTGTATTATATCTTGGCCATGGCCCTCGGCTCCAAGCCAAAGAAAAAGGCTTTCTGTTTCAATGCGGGTTTGTTGGAACTCACATGATCTTGGATGTGAAAGAACTTAGTGGGAGACTCCTTGAGACTTCACTGGATGTCTAGAACATCTCCCGAGACCACAAACCTGCTGGCAGAATTCACCTGTCTGCTTCACACAGGCACCGCCATGGTCCAAGTATGACGACCTGTGTAAGTGTGTCGCCATTCACGTATGATTTCTCTCCTTTTCTTCCCCCTGAAATTCTCTAGGTAGTGACCTCAGGCTGACCTCTCACACAAAGCAAGCCTCCTGACCCAACTTCTCAAGTGTACACCATCATGCCTGCCTTTTTTTCTTTTCTTTCCAATCCTCAGAGCAAGCAGGACAACCGCAGCAGGCCTAGCTGATCTTCTTCACAGGAGACCCGGACTTGGTGACCTCTGAGGTCCCATGACTGCTAATGGGCAAAGCTGTCTGCACAGCCATGCCTGCAACTCCTTCTGCCTGCCCAGTTTTTTCATCTGAGACAAATGGACTGTCAATCTGGTCTCTGTAATGACTGCCCTTCCCTGAGGGGCAAGAAGTCAGTGACAGGTCCCCTGCGGGACCTACCAGGGTCGGCAGCGCCTTTAACTAGGTCCAGAATCTCACGTTGTCCAAACTAGTCTTTCACTGGGCCTGTGACTCCAAAGTCCTCTCTCAGCTTGCCCCATGTCCTTTTGACTGCCTAGAGCTACCAAAGACTTATTTCTGCAGAGCCACTGCCAGGTGAGGCGGGCAACTGGCCTTGGCTTTCAACATTGGCTCTCTGAATTTGAATTCAGTGAGACTCCAAACAAGTTAACTTCATGCCAGTGTTTGCTCATGTGGGGAAGGGGGATAAACATCCTGGAGCCAGTCTGAGACTAGCTTAAAATGATTTACGCCCAGAGCCACAGGTGGCAATAGCTCATCAGCCAGGGCCTCTGCAAAGGCGAGCACAGTGAACCTCCCGTGCAGGCAATGCCTGTGAATTTGAACACACTGACTGGTGTTAACACCCGGCTCTTTCTCCAGGCACTCTTCTGTCGTGGCCTCCAGTACAAACTCACCATGATTCCGAGGCCCCACCACTGCGCACAGAAATGTGTGCTAGTGTTTTCTGTTCCTTCTCCTTTCTAGGGGTTGAACTCAAGAGATCAGGTTTGATGGTAAACACCTTTAGCTGCTGAGCTATCTCCCGAGCCCTACTCTTTTTTTAAAAGCAAGTTTTCATGTAGCCCAGGTTAGCCTTGAACTCACTGTAGCCAAACTTGAAGTTCTGATTCTCCTGCTGCAGCCTACAGAGAGCTGAGACTGATGTGTATAACCAGCCTGGTTTACTTCTTCTGGTTTCCTATAGCTCTCTGGAGCAGCTCTGCCCTCGTTCAGACTCCTGACTCCAAAACACTTCTAACCAGTCAAACGTTAGAAATATCCTGCGAAGCTAATACCCTCTCTAAGACCTCACTCATCTACTGGTTGAGACAGCGCCGGGGATCCAAGGACAAGCGCTTTGAGTTCCTGGTCTCCTGGAATCCTTCCAAAGGAGTTGCTGTGTATGGTGAAGGGGTGAAGAAGGAGCACATGATTGTGTTTTCACATCTAAGCCGGTCCAACCTCAACCTCACGAGACTGAAGCTGGAGGACAGTGGCACCTACTTCTGCATGATGATCGGGAGCCCCCAGCTGATCTTTGGGAAAGGGACAGAGCTGAGAGTGGGTAAGAATGCTTTCAATGCTATGAAGGAGCCTGCAAGCATGTGTACTCACGCACACACACACACACACACACACACACACACACACACCCTCACTCTGAAGTCATGAATAATCATGCCACCTCTAAGACTAATAGGAAATACACAGAGAGGTACCCAGGCCAAGCAACCTTTGATTGCATGTAGCCGTGTCCCTTAATGCTGCCATCCACCCAGCAAATGGTATATTCCATTTATATTCCATTTGCACTTTGGATGGGAAGCAGATGAGGTGAAAACAGACAGGTCAGTCAAAAGTGGGTGCTTGTGATTCCGATGGAGACACAGTGGTGCCTCTGCCCTTACACAATCTCAGGAACCCTGAGTGTAGATACAGACTGTCAGTGCCTGGGCACACACACACACACACACACACACACACACACACACACAGAGAGAGAGAGAGAGAGAGAGAGAGAGAGAGAGAGAGAGAGAGAGAGAGAGAGCACTTGCCCTGAGCATTCTTTGTGGGGTTCTATGGCTCAATTCCACTCTTGGGGCTTCAGGGAGATAAAGAAACTGCACCCCAGGCCTAGCCAGGCTACCAATCCATTGCACGCCTCCCCCCACCCACAGCCTCAATTTCCTAATCTGTACAAGGCAGCTGCTGGCCCACCTCTAGTTCTCGGAAGCTGTGCTTTTGTTAATTAAACGATCATATGCAGAAGTACCTTGCAAATCATAGACATGATTTTGTTTTCTGAGAGGAATTTAAGTAATAAGAAATAAGTGAAATGAATTTCACATTTTATTGAGCCCAGATTACCGAAACAGTATTAGCATTTTGGCAGGTAACCTACTTTTCATACAGGGCATTTGGTGCCTATTTTCTGTGTAGCACATTTCTGTTCAGACTAGCCACCCTAGACAGTAAGGATTCACCCCTTGGGGTGGAAAGTGATCATTGTAGATTCTGTCAGGCCAGAGGTTGGCTGTGGTTCTTTCTCCAGCTCAACCAGGGCCGGGCTTCTCACTGTCTTGCTTCCCACTCGCCTGAGGGCTGAAAGTCACAAGAGCACCCCAGCTAGCCCCAGAAGTAGGGTCACTCGGGCTAGGGGGTATAGAGATGGTTGGGATAAGGCCAGAGTTATAATGAAAAGCAACAAGGAAAACAAAAATAGGGCGAGGTCTCCATAGCCTCGCTACTCTCTGGTCTTATATGGTCGCGGTTCCGGGAGGAGTAAGGTCAGGTTGCGCTTGTTTTTTTGCTTTTGTTTCTATGATCCCCATGCCTTCCCAGTGCTTCAGCGTCAGAGGAAGGTGGACATGAAGTAAAAGCAGGTAATTTTTCTTCTTTACCTAGCCTGGTTGCCATGTTTCTGAGTCCTGTGTGCTGCCCAGCTGCCCAGGATCAGCAGTGTCTTCCTGGTGACAAGGGCACCCAGAGCCTGAACTTACCTGCCAGACTGGAGGGTCCAAGAGTTTTAGAGGAGAAGCTTGGGTGGTTTAGAGAGTGTTGGGGAAAACAGGCTTCATTCAGGTCCTCAAGTACACTATGGGTTCCAAGGACCTGTTCCCCCCCACCAAAAAAAAGAGAGGGAGAGACAGAGGGAGAGAAAGAGTTGAACTCACAGATCAGGAGGAATGAAGGAAACCTGACTTAGAGCAAGATGAAATTAAAACAGAGAAATCTCATCCTGTCCCGATCGCCCCCAGCAGACCCAGGTTGCTGTGCCAGTCAAGAGCCTGGAGCAGCTCCAGCTAGCTTCCCGCTAGGCTCGACACAGAACAGCCAAGAGACTCTTGCTTCTTTGAGTGTGAGGTGAGGCAAATGGACTCAGTTTAGGGGTCAGGAGCACAAAAGGACTCAACACCTGGCAGGTCCAGACCCTTGGACCTTGTCACTGCTATTGGCTGTCACTTTACAACAGCTCCCTGGTGCCAATGGCCAAAAGCCTTGTAGTGACCTAATGCGGTTAATGCTTTGTCAGAGGTGGTATGGGAAATGATCTTTCGGTTTTTCCTAGTCCCTCTACTACTTCGCTGGATGTAGGGTACAGGAGATTCGTTTCCTTGGTTAGCAAAATTTAAGGGTGGGTGGTCCGGCGCACCGCACCTCATAACCTCATGGTCTCCCGTCTCAATGTTTCAGCCCCACTGCCCTCGCCCTCCCTCTCCCAACCCCTCAGTGTGAGATGAGGAAGGGCCGTCTCAGAACCTCATGGTCTCCCTGCTCAAAGTGTCAGTCCGACTGTCCTCTCCTATCCCTCTCCCAGTCCCTCGGTGTGAGATGAGGAGGGGCCATCCAAGACAAGGAGAAGGGCCTGGAGTCCCAGCCTTTCACTGACCCACCTCTCCTAGCTGTGGTGCTCATGTCGGAACAACCTTCTTCTTTCCATCGGCTTAGGGCCTGGCAAGGAGGCTGAGAGCTTGGTCATGCAAAGGACCAAGAGGTCTTCTTTGCTTTGTCTTGTTTGCAGTAGGGTCTTTCTACATAGCCCCAGCTGTCATGTAGACCAGATGAGCCTCCTAGAACTCACAGAGATCCACCTGCCTCTGTCTCTCAAGTGTTGGGATTAAAGATGTGTGCTGCTATGCCTGCCTGGACCAAGGACCTCAGCCCAAGATCTGCCAAGCATAGTCACGCCTTCTGCCTGCCTGCTTTGCTAGGTACTCTGCTCTCTTGAATCTCACAACAAAATAGAAACCACCATCTTTATGTTTTGTTTTGTTTTGTTTTGTTTGGGGGTTTTGTTTGTTTGTGTGTTTTTGTTTTTCAAGATTTCTTTGTGTCACTCTGGCTGTCCTTGAACTCACACTGTAGACCACGCTGGCCTCGAACTCACTGAGATGCGCCTGCCTCTGCCTCCCGAGTTTTGGGATTCAAGGCGTTCACCGCCACTGCCTGGCAGTAGTCATCTTCTTTACAGCAGATAGGAAGCTGAGGAACAGACGACAGCCCAGGCTGCACAGTTGTTGATTATGGCATAGTTGTTGATTATGGCTCATGTCTGGTGGCTCCACAGCCTCTCTCCAGGACACCAAGCTACGCCCATGTATAGGCTCTACATTCATCTGAGAACTGAGAAACCAGATCTGAATTCTTGCGCTCTGGGACCTGATGCCCTGTGGCAGCCCTGGAAGGAAGGCACACAATCTGCCTGTGAGAATTGCTGCTTACGTGGCTGACATATGGGTCTTGCTTCTTTCTGTAGTTGATGTCCTTCCTACAACTGCCCAGCCCACCAAGACGACTGTCAAGAGGAAACCGTGCTCAGTCCCCCCATTAAAGCCCCAGAAGGGTAAGTTTTCCATCGTTGCACCCACAGAAAAAATGGCAGCTCCCCACTTTCACTCCCCCCTTTTTCCTTCACCCCTTCCCTTCTCTGTTACAAACTCTTGCCGAGTCTTCATTCTGCTGTCTATTTCTCTAGCTCTAAGCTGGTGTCAACAAAAGGGACGATGAATATGCCAGCAAGTCACAGTCTAGTGAGGCCACACTCACAAAGCATCCCAGAATAAGACGTTAAGGAAAATACAGTCACCCAAACACCGCACACAAATGCTCACAGCCGCACAATTCATTATAGCCAGAGAAGCAGACACACCCTGATGTTCCTCAACTATGCACAGGCAAACAAAACAGGATACAGGGGGCTGGGGATTTAGCTCAGTGGTAGAACACTTGCCTAGCAAGTGCAAGGCCCTGGGTTCAGTCCTCAGCTCCAAAAAGAAAGAGAGAAAGAGAGAGAGAGAGAGAGAGAGAGAGAGAGAGAGAGAGAACAAAATCCAGACAATACACGGACACATAGAGAATGAAGTACTTGGGCTCACAAGATGGCTCCGAAAGCAGCAGCTCTTGCTGCCGAGCCTGACTGTTCAGTGCAGGAGACCCACATGGTAGAAAGAGAAAACTTACTCCTGCGAGTTCTCCTTTAACTTTCACACGTGCACACCACGGCACTCAAATGTGCACACCATATACCCAGTCAATTAATAAATGTAGTTTAAAAAAATAATTAAGTACTGTCTAGGTATGGCAGTTCATGCCTGTAGTCCTAACATTCAGGAGGCTGAGGCAAGATCACAAGTTCAAGGTCAACCTGAGCTATTAGGAGAAGCCCTGATGAAGAAGAAAGGAAGAAAGCAGGAAAGAGTGAGTCCAGATGTGGTGGTGCACATCTGTAATCGCAGCACTCAGAAGGTAGAAGCAAAGGATCAGGAGTTTAAAGCTATCTTCAACTGCATACCATATTTGTGGCTAACCTGGGCTATGTAAGACCTTGTCGCAACACCTTCCCCCCAAATAATATACTGATACATGCTTATGTTTGGGTGAATCTTGACAACACACAGTGAAAGGTTAGTTATGAAAACCAAAAACAAACCCCACAACACATTTTAACCAGGTGGGGTGCCCCATAATCCCAGTACCCAGGGGCAGAAGCAGATGGATATCTCTGAGTTCAAGGCCAGCCTGGTCTACCAAGCAAGTTCCAGGCCAGTTAGGGCTACATAGAGAACCCTATCTTGACAGCAATGAAGACCATAATTTGTGTAGCTTCATAGATGTGAACCGTCCATGGGGATGAAGGTCACAGAGACAGAAATAGATAAAAGGCTACCTGAAGGTAGTGCATTGGGGAGCAATGAGAAAATCTTCACAGTACAGAGTTTTGTTTTTCTGGGACTCTCAAAGTGTCCCAAAGTTAGACACCTCTCTAGGAAGATACTAAAAACCATTGCGTATGCTCTAAGTTTTCTCTGAGGCTTGGCTTTTCCATGTAGACCCTGGCTGCCTGGAACTAACATTAACCCAGGCTGTCCTCAGTTTCCCAGTTCTTCTGCCTTAGGCTCACACAGGTTCTGGGAGTACAGACATGTACACCATGCTCAACATTCTATAAACAGGTGGAGTTTCTGGTTTGCAAATCATATCACAATCAAGCTGTCAGCAAACAAAGCTTCCAGGTCAAGCACCAGCGGTTCACTCTCAATGTCTAGCAGAGGAGCTAGCACAAGGGGGGCGGGGGAGGGGTCTGACAAGCTAGCAAGTGAACGCCAGACTTCTCATCTGGAGCAGGCACACGTGTACCTTTGAAGCCATAAGCTCAAATGTGCTCTGGAAAAATACTGACTTCCACCCCCCAAAAGCTGCTGGTGACAAACAGTTCCATCTGCCACTACCCAGAGTACAAACCACATCACCAGGACTACTGGGTGCAGCTGGCAGAAAAGCCCCAGAGGAAGCGTCCCCCGTAGGGTCAGGGAGACAGGGAGGGGGCTGCCTCCTGAGGTCTCCTAGGGGTTTGTGCCTTATGCCTACAATCCCAGCATCTGGGAGGGTGGGGCCAGCAATCAACCAAGAGTTTGAGATCATCCTCAGCTACAATGCAAGTATGAGACCAGTCTGGGTTATTTGAAACCCTGTCTCAAACAAAAATATAAACCCCACAGAATACAGCCTTGTTGGCCTCGTTTTTTCAGAAGGCTGAGGCAGGGGGATTATTGAATTCATAAATTTGAGAGTAGTCTGAGCAACATAATGAGATATTGTCTCAAAAAATAAATAAACCAGGCATGGTGGTTCTTACATGTGATATCAGCACTCCAGAGGATGAGGCAAGAGGATCAGTGTAAGTCTGAGGCTAGCCTGGACTACGTAGTAAGTTCTAAGCCAGGCTGATCTACAGAATAAGATCCTGAATGAAAAAACCCACACATACATGCATCGATATATACACACATAAACGGGAAGAGAGAAGGTCCAAAAAGAAGAGCAAGAGGGAGAAAAGGAAGGAGAGAGGAAGTAAGAAAGGAGAAAGAGGCCTTTATATATAGAGAGGCAGCAATTAGCTGGAATAAATAGCCATGCTCCTCCAACCCAAACAGCATGATGCTTCTCTGGCTTCCACTTCAGGGTGGTCTCTCCGCAGGAGCCTCCTTTGTCACCGCCTCTCCTCCGCTGCTCTAAAACTAACCACTACCTGTGACAATAGGCTCACTTGGACCTCACCCACTGGGTGAGCCTTGGTCAATTCAATTCGCCATGCTGTGCAAGAGTCTCATCCGCACTCTGCCAGCTGAGCTAGGTGCCCAGCCCTGCCCAGCCCAGCCCAGCTTTCTCAAAACTACAGAGTGAGAGGGAGCGGTGAAACCACTCCTTGCCTTCCGCCCTCTAAAACTGAAGCTTTCTGTTAGCGCTGTCCCTGGCGCATAGTGCATGGTATGCACCTGGCTGAAATTCTCTTCCTCGGTCGCCTGCAGAGGGTTTTCTGGACTTCTCAACCAAGAACCCAAACCTGGGGCTTGACTCTGCACCTCCGCCCTTTAAGGAGATCAACTACGGGGCTGATCTGAGACTATTGAAGACGGTTCTAGAACTTTTTTTTTTTTTTTTTTTTTTTTTTTTGAGACAGGGTTTCTCGGTAGCTTTGGGACCTGTCCTGGAACTAGCTCTTGTAGACCAGGTTGACCTCGAACTCAAAGATCCGCGTGCCTCTGCCTCCCGAGTGCTGGGATTAAAGGCTGCGCCACCACCACCCAGCTTCAATAGCATGCAAAAACTAGACAAATGAATAGATATCCAAATCACAGAAGAACGATCATGTAAGTGGCTAATGCAAGCAAACAGGCCAGAGCCCACTCAGAATTAGGACTGAAGTAAACTCTAGACTGATGAAAGCTAGAACACCATTAACAAGGGCCAGTGAGGTGCCATTGGGCAGGAGTGGAAGCAGAGGCACCTGGCAGTCTAATGCAACCAGAATGGACAAAGTCTGTGGTTCTGTAGTCCTCATTTTCAGCTTCTGCCTCAGGAAGGCACCTGCGTACAGAAACGTGCCAGAACGTTCTCTACGGGGCCGTTTCTAAAAGTAAAGAACGGGAGACAGCTAAGTTCCCGCTGGCGGCTGTCCCCAGGACCTCCTGTGTCTCTGCTGGGGAAAAGAACATGCCAGTGTGATTAAAGAATCGGGAGAGATGCATTTGCAGGGGGAAAAATGAATACAGTACAACCCACTGTGCTAAAAAGGAGAAACTGGGGGGCCGGGGATGTAGCTCAATGCTTGCCCAGCATACACAGGCCCTGGGTTCAATCCCTAGCCCGGCAGAAGTGGCCATAGCGGCCCACAAGTGTAATTCCAGTACTTGAGAGATGGAGACAGGAGAATCAGAAGTTCAAGACCATCCTTGACCACAGTGAAGTAGAGACCAGTCTGGGGTACGGGAATCTTTGCATTTAAAATCAAAACACAAAGACAGCGGTCAGGGAGATGATTTCTCAGGGCAGAGTGCTGGCAGTGAAAGCATGAGGCCCTGAGTTTAAACCATGAGTGCCCACATGAGAAGCTGGGCACAGCGACAGACACCTGTACCCCAGCCCTGGGGGGGTGGAGACAGGAGACCCCTGGGGCTTGCTGGCCTCTGGTCTAGCACCAGGCTCAGTGAAAGATGCTGTCTCTCTCAAGGGAACGAGGTAGGAGGTGGTCGGGCAGGACACCTACCATCCTCCTTGGCCCTCTGTGCTCACACCCATGTGCACACAACACATACTCGTATGTATATGAGCAAACAATGGAAACTGTGCGTGCCTGTGAGTTTAGATGTGAAGGGGAAGATTATGAAATTATTAATGTTGTTCTCTGAGAACTCCAACCAGGTGTAAAGAACAATGAAAATATAGCTGTATATCATGAAATCCAAATAAAGGGTTGTTCTAATGAATAGTGAAATTTTATTACTAGGCATGAGATGTATCTACTTCCTTTGAACATAAACAACTCCCAGTTTTACTGACACTTTAAAAGTATGGATGTAACAAGACATTTTCTATATAAAATTACCTCCATGTTATTTAAAGTGAATTTCAAAGTCGACCAGTAGGAGGTATGCTAAAAATACAATCAGTGGGGTTACCTTCTGGTAGGGAAGTTCGACCGATCTCTGTGAGTTCCAGGTCAGCCAGGGCTACCAAATGAGGGCTGCCTAGTGAGACCCATGTCAAAAGCAAACAACAAGTCAACCAGTGGCACCCTCCGGGAGGAGGGCCTGCCCCTGCCTATGTCGCAATCCGTACTGAATACGTAACATGTGTCATGTGTGTCTTTTCCAGGCATGACGTGTGGCCTCGTTACCCTCAGCCTGCTGGTGGCCTCCATCCTGGTTCTGCTGGTATCCCTGAGTGTGGCTGTCCACTTTCACTGTGAGTTGACGTTTCCAGGATCTTGTGAAGCCCCCATTTCCCTCCCTGAAGTGTACCTAGGCGTACTTCCTTCACTAGGGCAGCAGAGTAAAGGACAAATTTGCCCCCCAAAAACCGCATGGCTCTGCAAATGGTTCTTCCTGTCTTTGAGGGACTTTGGGGGAGGGCAGCAACTTGGACCCGGGGCTTATTGGATACTCTCTCCCATGAGACACCGCCCCACAGACCCAGGAGGCCAACGTGAGCCTCAACCTGTGTCTGCAGTCAGATAAACCCTAGGCTCAAGCCCACTGAAATACTCCTTCCTCAAAAGACTTTCATGTTGTCATCAATGGGTCTCAACAGCACACCCAAACATAGAACTTTGTCACCTACCAGGGATGCAATCTGTAATGTCCTCAGGGTCCCTGGGCTGCATAGATGGGTGCTTATGGTCGGTAGACATGAAAGCCCAGTGCCCCAAAGACCTTATCTGTGGCCTTTGTGTGGTGTCCACACCCCTGCTCGGTGGCACTGCAGGGAGACTCACGTGGCTGTTGCCCCCTGTGCCCTCGGCTCCTCTGTCCCCCCGGGCTCTGCAGGCACTGGACTCATAGAAAGGACAGGAAAGCAGAGGAGAGGCCAGACCAACTGTGGTCCCTCTATTCACCCCTGCCACCTTGAGTACATCCCTTTTCCTCCCTGGGCATCTATGAAGGGACAAGAACATCAGAGACACCAGCCACATCAAAGGCTCTCAACTCTTCCAAGGTCGCAGCATTCTGTGAATTTCTGACAGTTGTGGGTCCACTCCCCAGAGAACTGCAGCCAAGGGCGTGGACACTTTGGCAGACTATTATCCTCACCCACAAACCTGTGTACCCCGTTAAGAACCCCAGTGGTCGGGTTGAACCAAGCACACGGGCCTGCAATCCCAGTTCTTGGGAGGTAAAGGAAGAAGGATTAGGAGTTTAAGGCCAGCCTGGCTGCACAGTGAATCTGAGGTTTGAGGCCAACCTGGGCTACTTAGGAACCTGTTTCAAAAACAAATAAAAACGTTCTGTGAAGTAAACAACAATACACTTCTCTTTCCTGCCTGCATCCCATCAGGAGCACACATGCGCTGCTTTGGATGCCCTCTGAGGTCTGGTGCCTGGCCTGGTGCAAAAGGCAATGACATTTATTTTGTGCTATTGAGATTCAATCCCAAGGCCTTGTGTCCCACCACTGTGCTAGCCCCGCCCCCTCCAGTCTCCAGGAAAGCTTATTTAAGGTACAAACTGGAGCAGAAGAATTCCATTAAAACTCTGGCACTAACTACACAGCTTTTAGGCAAGTTGTTTGACAATTCACAAGCTCTGTGCCTCAGTTTCCACACACGTAAGATGGATATAGTAGTAGGAATAGGATCTGGGAGCATGTGTCAAGGCTGTTAAAAATGTGGGATGAATGGATGAATGAATGAATAATTTCAAATATTTTTAACCTATAAAAGCAAACAACAACAGAAGTGTGAAACGTGAAGAATTTGGGGCCCACCCTAGTACCCTAGATGTGGTGTTGGCTAACCCTGCTATCTTCCTCTCGGACTCTGTAGACTGACCCTAGCTATTGACCAACCAATGCTGACTGGTTTTTCTCTGCTCTGCTCCTCCAGGCCTTCGCAGGAAAGCCAGAATTCGCTTCATGAAACAGTAAGTGCTGATCTCCAAAACGTCACGGGGGCCTGAGAGTGTGGATAACTGGGCAGAGAGCTTGCCTAGCACGCCCAAAGCCCTGGGTTCGATCCCCGGCACTTACTTGGAAACCAAGTAGAGTGGTTTACTCCCATCACCCCAGCACTAGAAAACACAAAGTCACCAGGCATGATGGTGCACGCCTTTGATCCCAGCAATTGGGATGCAGAGGCAGGGCAATATCTGTGACTTTATGAGTTCCAGGCCAGCTAGAGCAGTTATACAGAGAAACTCTGTCTCAAAAAACAAAAATAAATAAGTAAATAAATAAATAAAAATTCAAAGCCATTCCCTGCTATATGGTACCAGCCAGCCTGGGCTACAAACCCTACATCAGAAATAATTAGCCAGCTACATCTAAAATACATGAAAAAAAAAAAGGTCCACTATATCTATCAACTCTTAGCAAGAGCCCGAGGTTTGTATAAGACAGAGGCTGTGGTTTATCCTCAACTGCAGGTCTAGGATCTCATCCTCAGACTCAGACAGTGTTCTTGCCTTTGATTTGTTGTTTTGGGACAGTATTTGATTTGTTGTAGTTTTGATCCTCCTGCCTCCACCTCCTGGTATATGAGCACTGAAGATGAAACTCGGGGCTTGGTGCACACGGGGAAGTGCTCTGCCAACAGCCCGGCCCAGCCTTGGATCTGATGTTTATCTTCAACAGAGAAGCTGTTTCACATCTGTCTGACATACATATCAATTTGCTCCTCAGAACACACACACATTTTGTTATGTTTTTTAATTGATTTTTATTGAGCTCTACATTTCTCTCTGTCCCCCTCCCAGCCTCTGCCCTTTTCTTCAACCCTCCCCCAAGGTCCCCATGATCCCAACTTACTCAGGAGATTTGTCTTTTTCTACTTCCCATGTAGATTAGATCCATGTATGTATCTCTTAGTGTCCTCATTGTTGTCTAGGTTCTCTGGGATTGTGATTTGTGGGCTGGTTTTCTTTGCTTCATGTTTAAAAACCACTTATGAGTGAGTACATGTGATAATTGTCTTTCTGTGTCTGGGTTACCTCACTCAAAATAATGTTTTCTAGCTCCATCCATTTGCCTGCAAAATTCAAGATGTCTTTTTTATCCTGCTGTGTAGTACTTCATTGTGTAAATGTACCACATTTTCCTTATCCATTCTTCGGTCAAGGGGCATTTAAGTTGTTTCCAGGTTCTGGATATGACAAACCATGCTGCTATGAACATAGCTGAGGACATGTCCTTGTGGCACGATTGGGCATCCTTTGGATATATACCCAAAAGTGGTATTACTGGGTCTTGAGGAAGGTTGTTTCCTAATTTTCTGAGAAATTGCCACACTGACATCCAAAGGGGTTGTACCAGCTTGCATTCCCACCACCAATGCAAAAGTGTTCCCTTTTCCCCACAACCTCTCCAGCATAGGTTGTCATCAGTGTTTTTGATCTTGGCCATTCTTAGAGGTGTAAGATGGAATCTCAGAGTTGTTTTGATTTGCATTTCTCTGATGTTGAGCATTTCTTTAGGTGTCTTTTAGCCATTTTTAGATTCCTCTGTTGAGAGTTCTCTGTTTAGGTCTGTACTCCATTTTTTTTATTGGATTATTTGTTCTTTTAATGATCAATTTCTTGAGTTCTTTGTATATTTTGGAGATCAGACCTCTGTCTGATGTGGGGTTAGTGAAGATCTTTTCCCATTCTGTAGGCTGTCGTTTTGTCTTGTTGACCATGTCCTTTGCTTTACAGAAGTTTTTCAGTTTCAGGAGGTCCCATTTACTAATTGTTTCTCTCAGTGTCTGTGCTGCTGGGGTTATATTTAGGAAGTGTTTCCCTGTGCCAATGCGCTCAAGTGTACTTACCACTTGCTCTTCTATGAGGTTCAGTGTGGCTGGCTTTATGTTGAGGTCTTTGATCCATTTGGACTTGAGTTTTGTGCATGGTGATAGATATGGGTCTATTTTCATTCTTCTACATGTTGATATCCAGTTATGTCCGCACCACTTGATAAATATGCTTTATTTTTTCCATTTGATATTTTTTGCTTTTTTGTCAAAAATCAAATGTTCGAAGGGACACACATGTTTGAGAAAAGACCATGCCTCCAAATGAAGGAGGCAATAGAGCCTTGTGCTCAAGGGAGGGACAGGCCTACATCTGAATTGGCGGCAAGCATCTTGCCCACTGAGCCTCTCTTCAGCCCTGACTGCTGTTTTTTATGGACTATTTACGATTGTAGTTTAGATGATGAGCAAGTTATGCTTTTTGGGCTGGGATCAGAAACCGCCTTCACCTACCAGACAAGAGTCATAACTTGAGGGTTTCTAAAACTAGACCTCCGGAGAGTTCTGTGCAGAAGTCTCCCCTTTGGGACTTCTGTAGAGAGTCATTCTAATTCTGTCACTCCCGAAGATTTGTCCCCACGTGTCCTTCCATTTCCACCTGCTCCCCAGTGACCTGACAATACCATTCTTGAAAAAGCTGGAGATGGAACCCTGAGATTTGGCAACTAGGAGTTCTATGGACTAGTGAGGCAGAGAGTGTGCACAGTGTGTGTGTGTGTTGAGAGAGGATCTCAAAGGCTGGCCCTGAGCTCATCTTAGACTCCTGATCCTGTAAAGTTGGTTTGTGGTTTTCAAATCTTTAAAACCCCTTCTAGTCCAGCCGTTATGGTCCAGGTCTGAACACAGCAGTCCTTGGGCCTCACAGAGCAACTATTAGCTAACAAGCTGCAACTTGAGGCAGGCAGTCCCACCTAGTGCTGTCCCAGAACGTCCTCCCAGCAGTGGCCCTGTGTGCACTGTCATCAGATCATCTTAGAAAGTGCTTCAAAGAGCAATGTCACTCAAAGCTAGGGGCTTCCACCAGTCTTTCTAAACATTTCTTTACCGTGTGTGTACATGTCCATTACGGCAGGTCAGAACAGCTGGTCCTGGATATTGAACTCAAGTCATCAGACTTGGGAGCAAGCACTTTAACCCACTGAGCCACCCTACTGGCCCCAAAGCTAGAGAGGTTTTAAATTATATTTGTGTGTTGGACGGTGGTGGCACACACCTTTAATCTCAGCATTGAGGAGGCAGAGGCAGGCAGATCTCTGAGTTCGAGGCCAGCCTGGTCTATAGATCAAGTTCCAGGACAGTTTCTGAAGCTACAGAGAAACCCTGTCTCAAAAAGAAAAAAGCAAACCCAAAGCAAATTAGGGAATTATATTTGTGTGTTATTTTGCTGTAGTTTGGTTTTCCTTGTGTTGTTTATGTTTTTCGGGTTTTTATGTTTGTTTATTTTGTTTTTTTGCCTTTTAGCCTTTTTAATGACAGAAATGGGCCCTAAAAGCCTCCTAATATAAAGCTTTCAGCCCCAGGCAGACCTGCTTCCTCCTCCATCTGCCATTGTTTCTGTTACAAGACATGTCGTGTCACTAGCCTGAGAATAAGAGTCTCACAACTTGCTGTGTCTTCCCAGGTTTCACAAGTGATCATCGCCCACAGCACTGATATCCTGCCGCAAAAGGACAATGACAGTGTTCAGTAAAAAAGCAGATCTAGACAAGTGAGAGAGGGATTCATTCAACGGTGGAGACTCCACTGCCTTGCTCAAGTCACCTGCCTTGAACTGCTGCAAATACCTCCGTGGAAGTCATGCATGGGGACCACGCGACTGTTCACCTGGAGTCTCCCGGAGAAAACCCCAGAACCCAGAGTCACTCACAAAGTGTGCCGAAGAACCAAGAACTCCCACCATGGCTCCCCTGTGGTTCTTTTACCCTTCTTGGACTGGACCTTAGATGGTGGCCTTCCAGTCACCATCTTCGTAAGTTGCTTGAACAGGCAGCATTTTTGGCTCTTTGACCCCTCATGGAAAAGAGCTGGGGGCAACCCTGGGTCTTCCCAGAGAAGACTGCCCATCTTCACAGGGAGAAGCCAGCTTGTGAGTTGCTGGGCTCTTGGCAGCCATCTTAGTCTCTCGAGACGTCCTGTGGGGCTGGGAGCCTGTTAGGTCAGGAGACTTCTACTTCATCTCCTAGTAGGAAGTTCTTAAGCTTCGCTTCTTCCTCTCGTTGCTTGGATATTTCTTTCACTCTCTGGCGTTTTTATGAAAATGTCATGGCTGTAAAAATAAAGTCCCGTGCTAAAGACACAAGCGCTTCCTGTGACATCCAAGGGTAGCCCCTCTACAGCGAAAGTGTTGACTTTAGTCAGAAAGAAGTAACAAGCATTGGGAGTGTAGAACTCTAGCCTAAATGCACAAGGGTTTAGTCGCCAGCCCAGGGCTCAGGGGTTTATTTTGTGTGTCCTCATCTTACATCTCAGACCCTCATTTGGTCACACAATGTGCCCTTAGGTTGAACTGTGGATGAAGAGGTTAGGAAGCACCTAGGACTCCCAAAGCCAGGCCATGCTGCCTCGGGGCCACACACTCACATACACACACACATGCACACGTACACACACATGCACACACACACACATGCACACACACACACACACACACACACACACCTGCAGTGATACTAGAAGCTCTTTTGATAGAAAAGAACAGGTGTTTGTTCCAGCCGTTGGAAGGCTTTGGAGTCTGTTAGCAAAAATAGAGTGGTTTTACTTACTTATTTATTATTTGTTGCTGAGACAGGGTCTCACTATGCAGCTATGGATTGCATCGAAGTCAATATGTATATGTGGCTAACCACCATATGTATATGGTGCAAAAATCCACCAGCCGCTGGCTCCCAAGTGTTGGCAATTTAAAAAAATATTTTATTTAGTGTGAGCATGTATGTGTGCATGTAGGCGAGAGAACAACTTTTAGAAGCTCGTTCTCTCCCTGCCCCGTGATTCCAGGCACAGTACTCGGGTCATGGGCTTGCCCTTTTACCCACTGGGGCATCTTACCAGGCACAATCCTGGATGACTTTTTTTTTTTTTAATGAGTTTTTTCATGGTGTAAAGAGGTTTCACAGATCAGGAGCCATCATGTTCCTGGAGATCCTGCAGACATTCTGGTAACGTTTTGGTATTTTGGTTTTTCTTTTGAAATAAGCTAAGGGAGAAAAGAACAGGCATACTCAATACAGCTGATAATTATGGAGAAGAACTCTTGGTAGGTAACAGGTTTTACAGACAAGAGCCCTAAAAATCTAGCACCTACGTCCCCATGTGTCCCTCCCTATTTCTGTTTCAGCAGCTGCTCACGAAAGTTAAGGCCCAGGGACTCCTGCATCAAGACAGGAGTCTTGTCCCAAAGCAAAGTGGTAGAACCAGAGTTATGATCGATTCATTTACTAATCATGTTTAGCCTCTGTGTCAAAAGAGGGAGTGACCAAGGAGCAATGGACTCAGAGTGGAGAGGGAGAATCCCAAATTTAAAAAGTCCCTGTTTGCCCCTTCCACGGCCTGGAGAAGCTTAGGACTAGCAAGGCAAAAAAACATTGCAACTGACATGTGCATTCCCAGAAGCACTGTGACATGGCCCATCCTGCATGCTCTTCGGGGCCTCTTCAGAGAAGGGTGAGAGCAAACTGGGCTGTGTTCTGAGGTCTCTGACAGTCACAGGAGGAAAGATGGCCCATGAGAAAGGGCCTCTCCTGCCTCTGAGGTGAAGTTGAGGCAGAACTGGGTGTGGGGGATCAGTGTAGGTGCAGGATGTCTTCGAGGGAAGCAGGGGCTCTCTGCAAATGACAGGCTGTGTCCCAAGACTGCTGGAAGAGTAGAAAAGTGTCAAGGTGGTCTCTCGCCCTAGCTGCACTGCGTGCAACCTCTGCTCCAGGGAGGCTCATAACCTGTCCGCAGCGGAAGGAAGAGCACACCTCATGGTTGTTCAGGTCACCTCAGACTGTAATATTTGAGCCTCCCCCTTACATTTGCTGTTGACAAGTTCAGGCGGGGCTGGCTGGCAGGAGGGGTTGCCCGCCTGCTGTGCAGGCAGCTGCTAGGAAGGCTCAGCTGGATCAAGCTTGGCTGCCAAGGGTCAGGAGCTGCAGTGCAAAGTCTGTACCCAGCACCTGACTGTTGTACAGAAGAGGGAACTGGGCTGTCACCACTGCCTATAGGTCTTTAATATATGCATTATGATATTACGTTGGGCTCGGCCTTCATTTTAAATAGGTCACACTCCATGCACAAAGAAAAACACAGTGAACTGCTCCTTGTGGTTCTGCTTGGTAGCCTAAAATTGGCTAGAACAATGACCAACAAAAATGACTAACAAAAAATGACCACAGAACACGTTAAAAAAACACATTTTTTTTAACCTAACGTGTTAAAAAAAAAAACAAAAGGTAATGAGGAGCCAGTTAGATACACTGTGGTCCAGCTTGTAAACGAGTCTATGCCGTCTTCAACCCAGCACCCAAAGAGCCAGTCAGGGCCACTTGGCTTGTCTCAAAGGATATATACTAAATATTTAAAATATAAAATATGTAAGAAAAAAATGATCCAGGTGGTGTCTGCACATGCCTTTAATCCCAGCACTTCTGAGGCAAAGGCAGGTGGATCTCTGTGAATTTGAGGCCAGCCTGGTCTACAGAGTGAGTTCCAGGACAGAGAAACCCTCTCTTGAAAAACAGAGAGATAGAGAGAGAGACACACACAGAGAGAGACAGACAGAGAAGAGAGAAAGATAGAAAGAAAGAAAGAAAGAAAGAAAGAAAGAAGAAATAAAATGTCACCCCACTGTCCTGCAGATTGGATTTTCTTCTAGTAATCTACAGAGTCACCAAGCATATGTTTACGTGCATAGGAAGGGACCTCTGAGACTCTGCTCTTCCAGAGGGTCCATTCCAGCATCTGCGTGTGGCACATAACCACTCGGAACTGGAGTTCCAGGCGGATCCAATGCCCTCTTCTGGCCTTTACAAACACCAGGTACGGAAGTAGTTCATAGACATTCATGCAGACAAAAGACCATATACACACAAAATAATTTTTTTGAAGAGGAATTTCCTTTTAGCTGTTACTAGCAGTAACTCTGGAGACTTTCGTGTCTGCTCTGTAAAACCATCGTCCTGGGACTGAGGCCGTAGCTCAAAGGGTAGAGTGCTTACCGGGCATGCACAAAGCTCTGGGTTTGTTCCTACCACCTCACAAACCCAGTGTAGTGGTGTGTGCCTGTAATCTCAGTACCCAGGAGGAAGAGAGAAGAGGGTTAGAAATTTAAGGCCATCTTTGGCTCCATAATAAATTTGAGACCTCATCTCAAAATAAAACAATAAAAATAAAAGCCCAAGTATAGAACATCGCAAAGAGTATTTGATCTGATTTTTGTAGGGATCTGTGCTTTCATATATTAATTCTATGATGGTGGAGACAAAGTGTTGGAAAAGACTCATTGCAGTTGTGAAAAAAACATTAGAATATACAAATTAAAGTACTTCTTCCATAAATGCAGCACGAAAATTCCTATAGTGTGTCTGAGGCCCCAACACGGCAGTCCCCTCGCTAGCAGCCGAGATGCCTTTGGCTGTACAATATAACCTCTGTGAGCTGGGATCTAGAATGTTAACACGTCTCCTCTCTGCCCAGTGGGGGGTCTGGGTTGACAACAGCAAGGAGAAGCATCTGGAAACAGCCCTGGTGTCAGAGAAGCTCAGCTGCAGGTGCGCTGCCCCCCAGACCCGGCACAGGAGGAAAGGGGGCTCTGACACCAGCCCTCGCTTTCATCCTTACTCATCGCGCTCCCCACCACAGCCGATCCTCAGCACCTATAGGAAGTGGGCGGCATGTTTTCAGAAAGAGATTCCCCAGCTCTTGTGGGTTGAGAAGCAGATCTGAATCTACCACCCAGTCAAAGAGAAAGAGAGAAACAGCCCTGGGTTCACAGGCCTCTCCTGGCAGTAAAGGACAAGGAGATTTCCTCTGTCATTTCTTGGGAAACCTCCTCAGTTCGTCACTGACACCCTTGAGGACATGAGTCATTGTTTCCTGGAGTCTTCCCATAACACGGGTGCCCGTACTCAGATCTGCATCCATAGTCTCCATATCTGGTTTTGCTGTTGTTGTTTGTGGTTTTGCTGTTGTTTGAGGGAGGTTGTTGTTTGGTTTGGGTATTAGTTTTTGTTGTCTTTTTGAGACTGGTTCTCATCTAGTTCTGGCCCCCAACTTGCTATGCATCCCCGAATGTCATTACTGATTCCTCCATCTTCCTCCCTCCACCTCCCAAGTGCTGTTTAAAGGAGCATGGCACTGTGCCTGGCTGAGCCCTCTTCCTCGGGAAACTTCATAACAGTTCAAATATCCTAATTTGGGTCACCTTCCACATGCCCAGCTCTCCCTCTGCATGGGTCGGGGGCACACTATGGGCAAGACAAGCCAGCAGGCCCTAGGGTATGGGGCCTTGCTCACAGGCACTTAGCAAAAAAATTTCCCAGTGTCCTTTTCACCAGCCAGAGCCATGACCTACAGAAGCTCACTGACTTTTTCCTGTCCTCTCTTCACATTGTCAATGCTCCTAAGCCTTGATGCAGGAAGCTAACCAAAGAAACCAAGTAAAATGCTGTTTAGAGGTCTTTATGATCCCAACAGCAGATTCTACTGAACTGAACCAGGGCGTGCCCCTCCTGTGGCTGCCCCTTCAGCAGCTTCCCAAAGCCATGCTTTCCACGCTCCCAAAGCCATCGGATACCTGGGAATGCCCAGTCTACCCAGCGTAAGTGACACCAGCTTGGTGACCAAAGAAAGGACACGGGCCCAGAGACACAGCTATGAACGGAGCACTTGTATGCCAGCCATGAAGATCCGTTGCAGACTGATCCACCCACCCCAGGAACTGACACTCATGGAGGGTGATTCAGGCCCACCTTTGAGAATAACCTGCCTGGATGGGTCACTGGCTAATCCTTAGTTCCAGCCCTGGACAAATGAACGAAAAAAATGCCCAGATGGGAAGACCCAAGGCAGGAGGTTTGAATCGGGTGTGAGAAGTCTTAACAGCCTCTCACAAGAGATTTTCTGAAGGTCTCTGTGGTTGGGTGGGGGAAAGGAGATGTGGGGAAGAGCTGGTGTGGGCTGGGAGGCCCACCTTCCCCAACGCTCCCCTCCCCAGCACCTCCAGCATCCTGTAAGCCTGAAGCTGGCTGCTGGGCCACCTCAGGCCAGGCTCAAGGCAGGCAGGACCCTTGTGCTCCAC